CCCTTAAACTTGACAGACAGCAATAATCATCTTAACTTCCCCTCCCCTCCCCTCCCCTCCCCTCCCTTGATACCAACTCCGTAATTACTTCTTCTGTTCCTCAGCAACCTTCTCCTTCTCCTTCTCCGCGCCCTTCAACCTCATCGTCAACTCCGACGTCCCCTGCGCCCCCGTTCCCGCGGCATTCAAACTCTTCATATTCGCCTCGCACTTATCTGACAACTCGGCATTCCCCTGAACAGGAGCCTCGACATTCTTCCTCGCCATCTCCTGGCTCTCCACGAACCGATCCCAATGCACCGGGTCCGCATCCCTTAGCTTGCGCACCACGTCCTCCTTGTTCTCGATGAAGACTGCCACGGCGCCGCGCTCCTCGACCATCTTGGTGTACTCGTCGTCGTCGAGTTCGTCGAAGAGCTCATGCAGCAGGCGGGCGTGGTTCGGGTCTGCGCCAATCATTTCCACGCCGCAGTTGAGGAGCATGTAATGCTCGGGCTTGACGATGCCGGAGCGGAACTTGTGACCGGCACGGAGGACGCGGGCTTCTTCGTCGGCGAGAGCGCGAGAGGAAAGAGAAAGGGAGGAGTTAGAGCGAACTAGGCCGCGGGGTTTGATGCCAAAGGCGGCGGCTTGTGCGGCTTCCGGATCTTCGGCGTCGTCGCCCCAGATGGAGGCGAAGGGGGCAAGGTCGATGGAGGAGATGGAGGTTCCCAGAATTTTCTCCGCGTCGTCGTAGGGGTAGGTGGTGAAGGAGGAGCCGGAGGAGATGAAGGAGGCCGAGTCGGCGGCGGTGGTGGAGGCGGGGACTTCCTTGGTATCAGGGAACTCGTCCTCGAAGCGCTTGATGATACCCTTGAGGGTGTTGTCGAGAAAGATGAGACGATGGTAGGCATGGGTGTCTTCGTGCGAGTCCCTAGCCTTTTGGATGGCGGGTTGTAACCTGGTGCGGATCTTTCTTGCGCTCAGCAGCAGGTGTTTGGATGTCTCCTTGGCCTTACCGACTGGAGCATAAGGCTTGGTGTGCACATGGCCGGTCTCGCCGTCGCGGACAAACTCGCCCGATTGTCTTCTAAACTCTTCGTCGCAGTTGTTCAAGCAGCAAGTCAAGGCCTTGACGACACCAGTGCCACCGATCACGTAGTCCTCATCCGGCGCAATGTCCAAGTTCTCCTCTGGATCGTAGGGCTGAGTGACATCAGCACCAACCAGGCGCTGAAGCACATCAGGGTATTCAGGCTCAGCTGGGAAGTCTGGTAGGCCCCCGGTCATAGAGGTGAAGTTCGAAACACTCGACATTTGCTCACCCATGTTGCGAAGGCAGTAAGCAACAACCTGCTTAGCCATGGCCTTGACGAGATCGCTCGACTGCTCGTTGGGAACCTCGATATCCACGGCAACCAGGCTTCCTGAGACCCTCGCGGCAGAGAGCAACGACGCAAACAGCGCACAGGCGGACTCCTTTGCTTCATCCGTGTTTGCATCAGTCAGTTCCACGATTTGTGGGTTCTCCAAGAAGCTGACATGGGCAAGGCCAGGGATTTCTGGCAGAATCTCGGCAAGGGCAATGACTTGCTCAGGGGTGAGAGCGCAATCAACGAGATGTATCCTCTTCAAAGACGGCATCGCGGGCAGGTACTTGCGCAATACCGCAACCGCACTAGGCTCGGTGTTGAAGAGCTCTTGGTTGTGAGACAGATCGATATACCGTAGCTGAGGCAGCTTGACCAATGTCGGCAGCAACTTGGACAGAGCTGCTGGTGTCAAGTTGCAATCAGCCAAGCTGAGTGCCCACAATGGACAGTTTTCCTGATCCAAAGCTTCCGTAAGCTTGTCAATATGCTCCCGCAGGTCATTGCCGCCCAAATCAAGGCCTTCGCAAGTCGGTGTAGCCAAGAACCTCTTGACGTGAGCGAGACCCTGATCTGTGAGGTCGTTGTTGGCAAGGACAATCTTCTTGATGCCGCACTTGAGGACGCCGTCCATGATCAAGCCAAGCTGCTCCGTGGTAATACCAGTTTCACCCAAGCTCAGAAGAGTAAGCGTTGAGCCCCCAAGGCGTTCCGCAAGCGATTTTGAAAACAGTTGACAAAGATCCATGGTCTTCTTCGCGTCGTTCGCTTTTTGAGTGGCTGGGCTGTTGGGCTGCGGCTGGGGGAAAGGAACCTGCGAAAGATCCAGAACCTTGAGGGTGTGGCAAAGGTAAACGAATAGGCAAATATGCTTCCACCCCTCAATCCCGATCTTGTTGTTTCTTGAGAATTAATCTCTCGACAACGCCGCCTTGCGGTGTTAGCCCATCGGGCCCTGTATGGTGCTTTCGTCGCTTAAACGAGTTCTTCCTGGCAGCCAACAGACCGGCAAGAATAACCCGGAGGCCCTCATCGTTCAAACCGCAATTGTCCATAATGATCTCTTTGATCGGGACCACAGCCAGATAGTCGCCGAGTGTTACCAAGTCGGGTAGCTGCAGCCAATATCCGGTAAGGTCCAGCTTCTCGACCACTCCCTTCTCGGGTGCCATATTTGCGGGGTCCATGAGTTGCTCGGTGATCCTCTTGAGGATTGGCGTCTCGCGTAGCTGACAACAACGGCGGTATATCCTGACTGGATTCGTAGTCGGCATCGATTGCGTCCGGCGAGCGGAGGCCTCGGGCTGCTGTTGTAGCTGCTGCGGCTGCGCGGGCGCGGTACTACTACCACCGTCATCAGAGGAATCGCTATCGACGTGGATTTCCATGGGAATGATACCATTCGCCTCGGCCAGTTTTCGCTTCTTCTCTTTCCTAGCCTTCCTCTCTTCTTCGCTCTTCTTCTTCTTTTCCTTTTCCTTGATTCTGCGGCGGCCTTGGCGGCTGCTGCTGCCTCTGCTTCCTTGCTATTCTCCTCTTTCCTGTTGGTAACCATGATGGTGCCATCTGGTGCTACGTGGGTAGTCACCACTTGGGGCTTTGCATTTGTCTTTTTCGCATCATCTCCGTACCGCGGCATGGGCGCAATTTCGACGTCGACGCAGAAGGCAACTCTGCGAAGTTTAGCCTGATTTAGACCGTTGATGTCACATCGTTCCCTGTGCTGGTCGACATTCAAAACCTTTCGCTCTACCAGACCGTGATTGTGCCCCTTCGTTCCGTGGGGTCCCAGTGTCCCGTTCGACGACGATAGCCTTCGGAAAATGTGGAAGACGCCGCCCTGGGCGCGACCAGGCGGGGCTGGGATGTAGGGGCCGTCGCCTTCGTGTTTTGTGGCGTGCTGAAGGACAGCGTTCTTAGCAGGATTGACCTTGGGCACGGAAAACTCGGCGTTCTTGGGAGATGTGGGATTAGTCTGAGGCGGGCTTTGGGCGGCACCGTTTGCGGACGAGAGCTTGGAGGCGATGTTGGAGAACCACGAGTTCCTTCTCTGAGGGGAAACGCCGATTGGTGGGGTCTTTACTTCGTCTGAACCAGTTCTCGTGAATCCCGGTCGCGCGGGCGATGGTGCTCCTATTGGGATCGGTTTCGCAATTGTGGTAGTTGTTGTGGTGGGGGATGCTATGTTTTGTGGGCTCGATGGCGCACTGAACATGTCTGTCCTGAAGCCATTGGTTGTTGTTGGTGCCGACGCTGGGGCAAATTCCGAAGTCGAAGTGCCGTTCGAAGCAGCGTAGGGAATGTCGAGTGCCTGTTGCGATAATGATTTGGAGAGAGAAGCTCTCCTGCCGATCTTGTCTAGTAGATGGAAGTTTGTGTCAGTTACGGTTTGTTACCAAGGGTCGCGACAAAGGGTCAGAGTTGCTTGTTGGTTGGTGGTGTTCCCGCGGCCCGGGCCATGGAACCCAACCGTCCGTGTTGTTCAAGTTATGGGTATATGTAAGAGCGAGCGAACCTTTGGGATTCCCGTGTGTCATCCAACTGACGTCTACACCGTGGATGTGCTCCATCTTGGGAAACGACTCGGGGCCGACCGTCGACATGTGGGCGAAGTGTGTGTTCAAGGGGAATTAGGTAGGCAAAAGTGAAAAAGGTCAAGGTCGACTCGAGATATTGGGGAAAAAGGTGGTTTTGGGGTCTTGCCCCCTTGGAAAGACAGTGTAAAAGAAAAGAAAGGCCTTGGGACCTGTGACAGGGAAGCGGCGTGGTCAGGCCGTGTCTTGGAAGTCTTTAGAGTGTCGAACCAGTTCTGGGATCCTCAGAGTACTAGATTCCCGTTGCTGCGGTACGTAGCGTCGTAAACGTGGGGTGTGGCCAAACGTGAGGGTCCTGGTTGTCTCTAGTTTCTTGAAGGGCGCTTGTCTCGTCTTGTCTTGTCTCGCGTTGGGCTGATCACTGATCGCTGATGGGTTTTTGCTCATTCAGCTGCTGCTGCACGGCCAGCCCAATGGTGAGTGGGCAGTGGTTGATCTGTGGTTCCGGGAGGGTGTACCGGTTTGGTGTCCTGTTAGGGAGAAGGCCTGTGTGGTGGTTGTATCTGGGCTGTATGTCTGGCCCCAGATGCCCTCTGTAAGTACAAGTACTTGTTGTATGCTTGTGACTTGATTGTGCAGACGTCGAAGGCTCACCAGATGCAGCTGAGGCGATTCGATCAAGGTTCAAACTAACTGCCTCTAACAGCAGAGGAAGCTATTCTGGGAAAAAAGACAAGAGAAGAAAGGAAGCCATTATGATGTCGGTAGAGGTCGGATGGAAACTGGAATCACAGAGTCTCTTTTGGACGGAAACAGAGCTGGAGAGGGATGGGGACCTTTCAGGGTAGCAACTCTCCATCACTGCAACTAAAAGACAAGGTTATGCCGGGACCTTAGCACCTGCCCAAGTGCCCACAGTAGCAGTTGTCTCTCCACATGTCCACAGTCCACCCGTAGTGTACATGGTGCCCATAGTCCACCACCAGCTGCCCGCCCCATTCGTGCCATTGCCCACGAACCAAGTCGTCGTTCGACGCGGAGTCCGTTTTTTAAGCTTCAGACGGGGTAATGTTACAGGACATGGACACCACTTTCCCTCGCTCCCCAATGTGGCCTCCCAATGATGCATTCGCGCTAGGATGGAACTCGGTAAGTTCTCTCTCACTTATTTTTTGTTGAGCGCGGTTCCTCACTGGCCAACGGGCAACGAGCTGGATATCAAAAAGACGGGATGTGGATGGAATGGGGGAGAATCACAAGCAGCCACACGGCAGCTTCCTTTTTATGTTGGTGTCTGCACATGAGAGCTTACAGTAACACTGCTAGAACTGCTTCTTGCATCTGATGTGATCAGTGCAGTTTTTCAGTGTTACTGTCGTCTTCGACTACCGAGATGGCCCTCTTGTCTTTCCATGATCTGGACCACAATAGACACAGGAACCATCCAGGCGGCGACACTGAATCGAAATGGGTGGACGATGGCGATGGTAGTGTAGAGGTATGGCCACCTTCTCTTCTCGGATGAGCCAAGCCGTTCCTTCGATAGTCGTCAGGAAATCATCATCCTGTCCTTCGTAGTGTAGAAACAATTACATATGCACGCCCTGAAGTAGCAACCAGGCCGGACCTTGTAAAAGCGCGCAACATCCGCAAAGAGGAAATGCTGCCAAATGCCACTGACGAATGAGGTCGGCAGCTAACCAATGTGCTGCACAGAGGAGAAAGGGGAAAGCGGCGCATCACAAACCACCAAAAGGCCCTCACCCAAAAGTCACCAGAGAGGCGCCACCTTTCCGAACACCCTGAAAGCCAAAAAGTCCCCACCACGACCGACATGAACATGGACGAAACTCCTCTTTCCCGTCCCCATCCATGGATTCATGAGAAGCCGCGATGGAGACTGGCCGGATACGCCTTGTGCTGGCAGCGCTGTTGGCGGCCACTGAAATGTCGCTGCCAAGCCGTTTCCCGGTGGATAAAGCCTTGTTAAATTCTCGCATGTCCGGATGCCGGCCATTTGGCACTCTCCGAACGACACTGCATAACACAATTTGGCCTTATCAATCCAGTCGGGATTTTGGGGGACTCCAGTTGCTCTGTGTTTCTCGATATATCCGGCCATCCCCCGAGTTTCCGTCCCCCGTTGCGTTGCTAGAAAGCCAAAGAACTTGACACAAGTTCAGCACATATCGTGGACACAAAAGGTACACACACCGCTCCATAGTCATTTTTGTAGGGTTGAGGTTCTACAAAATGTGAAAAAGTAGTTCATGCAGGGCAAAGAAAAGACGTCACACGTCAGCACACCAAGATTGGCGAACGCAGACCCGGTCGGTAGTGGCCGCAGTTCAGGTTACTATCTTCAAGTGGAAGTTGTGCGAGGTCCGCTATGCAGTCCCTGCGCCCCATCGGCGACATTGACCAGCAGCCGCACCGGCACCGCCAGCGTCGCAAGTTGGAAACCTCAAATCTTTTTTAAATAGATATTGAAAAGATACTCGTCAATTAGGTTAATGAGTGATCACTCTCTGGGGGCCTCGCTTATATAACAAGCTAACCGATTCTCTTAGTCTCTCTGAGAGTTGGATTTTTTACCTATAATACACAAGGTTGATAACGGTCAGATATCTAGATATAATTATAACCCAACCACCACAACTCGTATGAATATAATAAAATATGTAAAATGAAGCTCTTAATTACGCGCATTCAACAATGTATTTGGATTATTAATTAATAGTCATAATGAGTGTAAGAGGTGCAGCATAGTTGATACGGATGCTGGCTAAAAGAATTGATAAGGTTTTATAAAGAAAGAAGAGGAGAAAGAACACCCTTTGAGCAGTTGGGCCGGCTGCTCTAAAGAAGAGACGTGCGCACGCATAGGCCAACGTTGCCTGCCGCGAGAGTAGAGCACTCGCCTAGCAAGATTGATAGGCATTTTAGCCATAGGCACTAGCTCTATGACAATAGGTTATTGTGGTAGTTTGAAGTTTAGGTGGCCCATTGTAAAAGGTAAAGACTTTGTTACTAAAAAGCTCGTAATAATGTGGTTGTTATTGATTACTAAGAGAAGAAGAGAGTCTATAACGCAGACTGTGTCACAGGTTGACATTGGCTA